AAAAACAGGCTGTGCCTGGGTGGGGTGGCTCACACCTATAATCCTAGCAGTCTGGGAGGCCAATGCGGTAGGATTGCTTGAGCTCAGGAGTTCAAGACCAGCCTGAAGAAGAGCAAGATCCTGTCTCGACTAAAAATAGAAAAGATCAGCCAGGCATGGTGGTACATGCCCATAGTTCCAGCTACCTGGGAGGCTGAGACAGGAGGACCCTGAGCCCAGGAGTTTGAGGTTGCTGTGAGCTAGGCTGACGCCACAGCACTCTAGCCCAGGCAACAGAGTGAGACTCTGTCTCATAAAAGAAGAGATAAGTTTTGTTCAAGAAAAAAACTTCAAAAAAAGTTGAGAATCCCTGTCTCAAGTAACTTCAAAAAATAACATATTTTTATAGGATCTAAAAATAATTCATTTTCAAATTCTTAAACTTAATGGTTTCAAAGCAAAGTGGTCAACTAGAGTTATATTTTATCATGAATCTCTTTCTAGTAATTTCCTGTTTACTGCCTTTAAACAATCTGTTCACAAAGTATTTTTCCCTAGGAAACATGGGTAATTCATAACGAAATTTTTTTAAAAAACTAGTACATTTAAAGTTTAAGGCCTACCTAAAGAGTAGAAAATAGAATTAAGGCTGGGCATGGTGGTTGGCTCTCACGCTTGTAATCACAACACTTTGGGAGGCCAAGGCAGGAGGATCACTTGAGCCCAGGAATTCGAGATCAGACCTTGACTCTAGGAAAAAAAAAAAAAAAACTAGCCAGGAGTGGTGGTGGTGGTACACTCCTGTAGTCCCAGCTACATTAGAGGCTGAGCCAGGAGGATCACTTGAGCTGGGAAGCTGGAGGCTGTAGTAAACTATGATAGCACCACTGCACTCCAGTCTGGGTGACAGGTCGAGACCCTGTCTCAAAACAAAAAAACAGAATTAAGAAAACAAGTTGGCCTGGAGCCATGGCTCACACCTGTAATCCTAGCACTCTGGGAGGATTGCTCTAGGTCAGGAGTTCGAAACCAGCCTGAGCAAGAGTGAGACCCCCGTCTCTACTAAAAAATAGAAAGAAATTAATTGGCCAACTAAAAATATATAGAAAAAAAATTAGCCAGGCATGGTGGCACATGTCTGTAGTCCCAGCTACTGGAGAGGCTGAGGCCAGCAGTTTGAGTTTGCTGTGAGCTAAGCTGACGCCACAGCACTCTAGCCTGGACAACTGAGTGAGACTCTATCTCAAGAAAAAAAAAGAAAACAAGTTATATACACTTACTTCTTGTGTTGGAACAACAGATACTAAAGCTGTTTTCAGTTCCTCTTTATCAAAAGCGTCTGGTCTTGTTCTACTTACTCTTACTTGATAATGTCAACCACTTTCAGTGTCTCAAAGATCATCTCTATGCAATTAAATCACTCCAGTCTTCTATACTATTTCTGCACCTTGTGCATATGTCAATCACACATGTATCAACTGGTATTGCAAGTATTATTTGCTCACAACAGTTTTATTATATTAACTTCTGTTGGTTCATACACTCCACGAGGGTAGGGACTAGATAGATTTCCACATGGAGCCTGGTCAAACATTATCATTAAATAAGTTTATGACAGACTCCAAAATCTACATCTCTAACCCATCCAGCATTCCTAGCTGCCTAATCTCATCTTCATTAATATATCCCCAAATGAAATAAAACTGTAATTTCTTCCCCTAAGAATCACTGGAAGAGAGGCAGTTAAGTCTACAAATGCTATCTTTTAATCTAGCATTACATTAATTCTCTTCTTTCCTTTATTATTTGCACTTTCCTTCCTCAGGTCTTTAACCTTAGACTGTTAAAAGAGCCTCCAACTCATCTATCACTGTGCTAAGTAAAACAAACCACTGTGCTAAAACAAACCAGTCAAAAAGACCACATATGACATGATTCTATTCATATAAAGTCCAGAATATAAAAATCTATTCTCTATAGATTTTTTATATTTCTGTCTCTATAAAGAGACAGAAATTAGATTAGCAGTTGCTTAGACTTGGGGGCAGATGGGATGGGGAAATGGGCAGAGAGTGATTGCTAAAGAATAGAGTGTTTCTTTATGAGGTGATAAAAATGTTCTAAAATTGTAGTGATGGTTGTGTATCTGTGAATATACTAAAAATCATTAAATTGTACACATTAAATGGGCAATCTGTGGCATGTGAATTATATCTCAATAAAGCTGTTTTTAAAAAATAACCAGGTATATAATACAAATGCCTGACTTTTTTTTTAAAAGGTTCTGCGTACTAGTCCATTGAAAAAGGTGCTTAAAAGTCAAGCCCAGGAGTTCAAGACCAGCCGGGGCAAGAGCGAGACCCTGTCTCTACAAAAAATTTTTTAAAAAATAGGTAGATGTGGTGGTACACCCCTGTAGTCCCAGCTACTCAGAAGGCTGAGGCAAGAGGATCCTTTGAGCCCAAGAGTTTGAGATTGCAGTGAACTATGATGATGCCACTGTACTCTAGCCCAGGTGGCAGAGGGAGACCCTGTCTCAAGAAAAATAAATAAAAAATAAGCATGTAGATTCCAGTGACGCACAGGCATCTGCATTTTAAAGATGAATACTGCTAATTCTTCTGCACACTAAAGTTTGAGAAGCACTGTTTAAAGGAAAAGCAGAGTACTGAAAGAACATGTTTTTAGAGAAGTTTTGGTATTCTAGAAAATACTGCTATAGGCTGGGCACAGTGGCTCACACCTGTAATCCCAGCACTCTGGGAGGCCGAGGTGGGAGGATGGCTCAAGGTCAGGAGTTTGAGACCAGCCTGAGCAATATTGAGACCTCGTCTCTACTAAAAATAGAAATTAATTGGGCAACTAAAAATATATAGAAAAAATTAGCCAGGCATAGTGGTGCATGCCTGTAGTCCCAGCTACTCGGGAGGCTGAGGCAGAAGGATCCCTTGGGCCCAGGAGTTTGAGGTTGCTGTGAGCTAGGCTGATGCCAGGCCACTCTAGCCCAGGCAACAGAGTGAGACTCTGTCAAGAAAGAAAAGAAAGGAAAGAAAGGAAAGAAAGGAAAGAAAGGAAAGAAAGGAAAGAAAGGAAAGAAAGGAAAGAAAGGAAAGAAAGGAAAGAAAGGAAAGAAAGGAAGAAAGGAAAGAAAGGAAAGAAAGGAAGAAAGGAAGAAAGAAAGAAAGAAAGAAAAGAAAGGAAAGAAAGAAGAAAGTACTGCTATATATCCTTCCCCAGTTTGAAAAGAAAAACATTTTGAATTTACAAATCTCACAGTCATACCACCTTCTTAAAATTAATAACCAGAATGACTACATAAAATAAGGGGTTTAGAAGAACAACCAAAAACAACTGTATTTACAACTTTCATAGTACATTAAGATAAATTTAAAGTATTCAGAATAACCTTTTACTATAAAAAGGTCAACACCATATTTTTCAAAAGTTCCATCCACATGGAAAATACAAATTACAGTTCCTTTTACTCAACTCCAGATGACCTCAATTAAACAGAATGCTTAGTGTTCACAGTATTCTAGTTCACACTAGTATCAATCAAGTTTGTTCTGCTTCTTGTTGGCAGAAAACCTGTTACCCCCAAAGGGAATACAGGTCTCAGGATCCTGCAGACACTAACTTTCAACACATTATAGTACAGTACATATAAAGGTATAAAAGGATAGTAACTTGCCAAAAACATATTCTGAAAAATAATTTTTACTACTTTTGAGGATGTGCTCGTTTTGACAATCCAACAAACATTTACTAAATGCAGATGTTAAAAATTTTGTGAAAAATGATGATCAAAACATTAGCCCCCAGGATGCCTATAACCTGAGGAGTGGTGAGGTTTGGCTGGGACACTGCACGTGAAATTAGTAGAATGTAGTCAGTGTGCTGAAAATGGTTCCCAAAGTTCCCAGTTTCACGTAACTGAATTTCAGATACTGGATATTTTACAGTAACTTCTAATTGATTTGATGCAGAGTTGAACAAGCTGCGAAAGCTTATTAAAAAGTACTTGATAAGGAAGTACAGCCTGAGGTAAACAAACCTCTGGGAAACTTGGTACATTTTTAATATACCTAAACACACTTAAAATTAGAGTATGAGGTGTGCGCTCATCAAATACAAAGCAATTCAAACATGAACTGTATATAGGAGAACCCAATAAGTTATGTTCATAGAGGGTGTTTCCTTTGACAAAAACAGGAACATTCAGCTTCAGAGATCGCTGACCATGCGAGAAAAGAGGAAAGAGGAGAGATCTGCTTCTATTTCTACCCTGGTAACTAACTTACACCACACACACACACACACACACAGGCAGCTTCCTGGACTACTCCCTGCTTCAACTTTGTATTTCAGAAACACTATGACCCCTAAAAAGCCTAGGAACTAAAGACAGTCAAAACCAGGCAAATGTATTTAGCTACTTAACAGTTCAAAACAGAAGCCCCTCCCTCAAGAGGAACCAGACGTCCACGAAGGGCCAGGACTGGGAAAAGTGCATTTACAGGCTGCCTGCAGACCCTCACCTCGGCCACTCAGCGCTCACTTCACTGCTCTCCCCTTTCAGGGCACACCCTCCCATGGGCAGGCGAAAGCAAGTACCTCCCTAGAGGAGCCACGAAGCCCCAGGGGAAGACGGTGGGGGTTTACCGGGATCCAGGGCCAGATCTTTCCTGGACTGGGAGAAGAGGTGCAACAGAAACGGAGGAAGGCCAGCTAAGCAGGGAAAGGGCGCTGCGGTGCTCCGTCTGGTCCCGGCCCCTCAGAGAATTAGGTCGGCCGCCCCAGGCCCGCAGGCTGCTCTCCTCAGGAGGCCTTGCCGCCCAGACCAAGCCCTAACAGGTTCACTGACAGGCACCCGAGGTGGGGCCCGCGTCACAGGTGTCACTCCGAGCAGGTCCCTGCAAACCCGGGGGGTGGGGAGGGACGGGTCGGGGCAGGGGAAAGGCGCCTAAAGATGAGACGCGCGGCAGCGGCGCAGCGCAGCACTCACAGCGACGCGGTCTCACCTCCAGGGTGGAGACAGTGCTGGTGAACAGATCCTCTCCGTCCTCCAGCTCCTCAAAGTCGGTGGGCTTCCCGTCCCCCAGCGGCGGAGGCTCCCTCTCGGCCGCCATCTTCGCTCGCCTTGACGACTGCGCGAGCTGGGCTTCGCGGCCCCGTCACGTGAGCACGCACGGCTGGGCTGGCGCGCGGACCGGCCGACGCCCCGCCCCCGGCCCGCCCACCGCGCTCGGCCCCGCCCCCGGCCTCGTGACCGCCCCTCTCACCTCCACTTCTGGGGCCCCGCCTCCTTTTCACCGCACACTGGCTGAGGCGGCGTGTGGAAGTAGCTTGGGCTTTTATTACCACGTCAACTTCTTAGCAGGACTGGGTCAAATATTTACGTTGGCACTGCCAGTTTTAAAATCTTCTTTGGGAAGTGGAAGTAGCTTAGGGACCAGTTTTGGGCCTTGATTACATACACACTGAGGGCAAGGTTGAATATTGGTGAAAGAGATGCATACTCTTTCTTCTAGAACAGTCCAGTAGAACTTTTTAACATGATGGAAATGTACCGTCCTGTCCAATTCAGTAGCCCCTGGCCACCTGTGACTGCTGAGCACTTGAAATGTGACTAGTGTGAGGAACAGAATTTTAAATTTGATTTAATGTTAATTAGTTTAAATCTAAATAGCCACATGTGGCCAGTGATTACCTATTAGACATTGCAACTCTAGATAACAAAAGGACCCTAATAATTTGTTGTCTGTGGTTTACTCCAGTTTCATTATGAGCCACACAGTTCTTTCCTCAATAAACGGTCAAAAAGGCTGGAAAGATGGCAGGAAAATCCATGGTTAGTAAGAGCACCATACTCACATTCCCTGGCCTGCACTCACCACCTATGGACAGTCTGGGGCAGGTGTCCTCAAATATGGCCCTCGGGCCACATGCGGGTGTTTTTGCCCATTTGTATTTTTACTTCAAAATAAGATATGTGCAGTGTGCATAGGAATTTGTTGATTTTTTTTTTAAAACTAAAAAACTATAGTTCGGCCCTCCAACGGTCTAAGGGACAGTGAACTGGCCCCCTGTTTAAAAAGCTTGAGGACCCCTGGTCTGGGGGCTGTCATGGGTCAGAAACTTCTTAAAGCTTACGGCCTGACTTGAGGTGATTCTTCTCTGTATCCCAAATTTTTACCTGTGCCTCTATTTATTGCTCACTACATCTGTCTTGTGCTATGGTCATTTATATTCCCAGCTTATCTTTTAGTGCATATCTGACTTAGTTGAAATATAGGTGCTGTTGCTTATAACACAGACCCAGGTTAAAAGTGTCTTGGAAAACGGGCTAGTTTAATTGTGCCTAATGTAGGACCAGGGTTGGTACGAAGGAAACCTCCATGAGATCGTCCAGGGACACAGGCTCCTTCTGTTGTTCTGCCCTCCCTGAGATGTAATCTCTTCCCCATGGTTCAAGTTGGCTCACACCCCTAATTACACCACATTCCAGCTGGCAGAAAAGCAGTAAAAAGGAAGCAATGATATTGCCTTTCTTTTTAAGGGCACATTCAAGAAGTAACACACATCCCATCTGTCCATATCCTCTTTTTTTTTTTTTTTTTTTTTTTTGAGACAGAGTCTCACTCTGTTGCCTGGGTTAGAGTGCCGTGGCATCAGCCTAGCTCATGGCAACCTCAAACTGCTGGATTCAAGTGATCCTGCTGCCTCAGCCTCCCAAGTAGCTGGGACTACAGGCACGAGCTACCATGCCCAGCTAATTTTTTCTATTTTTAGTTGTTTGGCTAATTTCTTTCTATTTTTAGTAGAGATGGGGGTCTTGCTTTTGCTCAGGCTGGTCTCGAACTCCGAAGCTAAAGCGATCCTCCCACCTTGGCCTCCCAGAGTGCTATTACAGGCATGAGCCACCACTCCCGGCCTGTCCATATCCTCTAGACCAGCTTATTAGTTACTTGGCCATCTCTAGCTACAAGAGAGACTAGGAAATGCAGTTATTATTTCCCCCCTAAAAATTCAGGATTCATTTACCCTAGAAGAATGTAGGCATTCTTAGCTGAATTTCCTTCTGGGTAACCATCCCTCTCCCACCCTCAGCTGTGAATTTTATCCAACTCAGCAATAGAGGGCACGGCCTAGGCTTAAACCAAATAACATTGACTCCCTTAGTCCCAGTGATTGGTAGGAGGTCAGAATCAGCTGCATTTTCCCTAAATTCTTTCTTTTCTTTCTTTTCCTATTCAGCCTAAATTCTACGAGCCAGGACTGCAAGAATTGTCTTATTATTTTTGTCAGTTCTCCGTCTTCCTGGGTGTCTGCTTTTCTGTTTCATTTGGGATTTTCTTTAAAATCCCAAATTCAGCCACAGCTTCTCTAATCTTATATCCAGATTGCTAAAAGCATTTGAAGAACAAAGCCCAACCCCAGATTGAAGATCGTATACAACTGTGATCTCAAATCTCAACTCCACATTGCCTAGGCTGCAATCAAGGTATCAATTAGGTTCTACACCAATTCATCTGGAAAAAAAAAAAAAAAAAAAAAAAAAAAAAAAAAAGGTATCAATTAGGGCTGTAATCACCTCAAGACTCAGCTGCAGAGGACCCGCGTCCAAGCTCACCCATGTGGCAGGACTCAAGTTCTTGCTGACTGTAGGCTGGAGACATGAGTTCCTTGCCACACAAGCCTCGCCATAAAGCTGCTCACACAACCATCATGTTTCTAACTTCTTGAACTCTTCTTCCCAGCAGAGTTTCTAAAAATTCATTATGTCTCCTACTACCTTTTTCTTCTCATTTTCATCAAATGATCTAGCCTCCTTGTCCAATGACAAAATAAAATCCACTGAGTAAATCCTTCACCTTTCAGGTATGATTGAAATTCTCTTCTTTTTGTCTCCAACAGTTGCTGTGTACATTTTTACAATACCTATCATATCATACTGTGATCATGGTCACTTTTCTGTCATCCCTCATGAACCAGAGGATCATTGATCTCAGGGACCACTTCTTATTTGACTTTGGATCTGACGTAACCCTGTACTAGTTATCTATAACTGTAAAACAAATCACACAAAAACTTAGCAGCATAAAACCATAAATATTTATTTTCTAATGGCTTCTGTGAATCAAGAATCCAGTCACAACTTAGCTGGGTGCCTCTGATCCAGAGTCTCCCACAAGGCTGCAATCAAGGTATCAATTAGGGCTGTAATCACCTCAAGACTCAGCTGCAGAGGACCTGCTTCCAAGCTCACCCATGTGGCAGGACTCAAGTTCTTGTTGACTGTAGGCTGGAGACATGAGTTTCTTGCCACACAAGCCTTGCCATAAAGCTTCTCACACAACTTGTTCCAGAGCAGAGACTTTTGAGAAAGACAGAAAGAGACAGCTCCAAGAGAAGGCAAGAGAAGGTAAGAAAGAAGCCAGAGTCTTTTTGTAACCTAACTTCAGAAGTAACATCTCACCACTTATGCTGTATTCTATTCTTTGGAAGCCCACACTCAAAGGGAGGGGTTAAACAAATGTGTGAATAATAGGAGGCAGGGTTCTTGGGGGACATTTTAGAAGTTTCCATAAGACCTCATAGTGTTTAGCACTCAGTAAAATGGATACCCTATTAATACTCTCAATGAATGAATGAAGCTCAGAAGAGAGGCTAAGTGAAAGATAAAGATTTGGTAGTTGAAGCCCCTGGTACATAAGGGGGCCAGGTAGTGTGGGAAGTATAACCCTAAGGATCATTCAAGAAGCAGGGAAAGGAAGTGGTGCCTAACACTCTGGGAGGCCGAGGCGGGCGTATTGACCAAGGTCAGGAGTTCGAAACCAGCCTGAGCAAGAGCAAGAAGGAGAGATCTCCTAGGCTCAAGCAATCTTCTGCCTCAGCCTCCCAAGTAGCTGGACTACAGGCATGCGCCACTGCTCGGCTAATTTTTTCTATATATATTAGTTGGCCAATTAATTTCTTCTATTTTTAGTAGAGACGGGGGTCTCGCTCTTGCTCAGGCTGGTTTCAAACTCCTGACCTTGAGTGTCCACCTGCCTCTGCCTCTCAGAGTGCTAGGATTACAGGTGTGAGCCACCACGCCCAGCCTATATACTGTGTTCTTATAATGAGCTAGAGAAAAGAAAATATTAGGAACATCATAAGGAAGAGAAAATATATTTACCATTTATTAAGTGGAAGTGGATCATCATAAAGGTCTTTATCCTCATCATTGTCTTTACATTGAGTAGGCTGAGGAGGAGGAGGAAGAGGAAGGGTTGGTCTTGCTATCTCAGGGGTGACAGAGGCCAAAGAAAACCTGCCTATAAGTGGATGAACAAAGTGCAAACTTGTGCTATTCAAGAGTCCATTGTATAACCACTTCACAGCTATTAGTAATGTCACTAATTGAGGGTTGACTGACACTTTCATAGTAATGGTAGTTTGCAAACATTTACAAATGCAAACATTTACAGCTTGTGAAAAAAACTACTATGCTTGACTTCCTCCCAGACTCCATACTTCCCTTTCCTTCCCTCCCTTCATTTCTTTCCTCCTTTCTTCCTTCCTTTTTTTTTTTTTTTTTTTTTTGAGACAGAGTCTCACTCTGTTGCTGGCTATGAGTGCTATAGCATCAGCCCAGCTCACAGCAGCCTCCAATTTCTGGGCTCAAGCAACCCTCCTGCCTCAGCCTCCCAAGTAGCTGGGACTACAGGCACACGCCACCAAGACTGGCTAATTTTTTCTATTTTCAACAGAGACAGGATCTCGCTCTTGCTTAAGCTGGTCTCGAATTCCTGACCTCAAGCAATCCTCCTGCCTTGGCCTCCCAGAGTGGTAATGATTACAGGGGTGCCCAGCCCTTCCTTTTTTTTTTTTCTTTTAACAAATATGAAGCCTTTTATTATCTCACAATAAGGAGCTTAAATATTTTCACTTAATGATAACCAGTCATATTTATTTAAGCAATGAAATGATTATTTTTCTCAAAATAATAGCAAAGAAGGTCATAATGAATTCTTATTTGTTCATAGCTGCTGCCCTATATCTCACCTCACTCACCAGGAGCTAATGTACCTCCCAGGTGTTCTCCACCTGTTCCCCCCATCTCCTACATATTCTTCCATCCGTAGCTAAATTCCCTCTTCACCCTTTTCACTCTGCCTTCCAGAGCTCCAATTCCCATACAAACAAATGTTCTTAATATCTGGTTCTTCCCAGAAGTTCTCAACCTTCATAC